GCCCCCCCAACTTCGGCTAAGGGAGCCATGGAGGGGTCAGAGCGAAAGGCGGAAGATCCGGAAAAGACCTCCAATAAAAGTGCAGGGGGGTCACCAGGTGGGTAGAATTTACAGCAAAAGAAGCGCAAAAAGTTTGCCCCGTTATGGCCGCTCCCCGGCAGGAGGCAGCAGAAAGTGCGAGCCCACCTGCTGGCCCAAGCCCTCCAGGCCGCCTAGGAAGCCCCCAACTTCGGCTAAGGGAGCCATGGAGGGGTCAGAGCGAAAGGCGGAAGATCCGGAAAAGACCTCCAATAAAAGTGCAGGGGGGTCACCAGGTGGGTAGAATTTACAGCAAAAGAAGCGCAAAAAGTTGATGCCCCGTTACTCCTGTGAGGTCGTTGAAGGGACTGTTGCCCTGAGATAGCAGGTACGCTCGCACTGTCTGGGAGCGATCTTCTGTCCTCGGGTAGCTGAGGGCCGGCTGCCGGCTTTGCAGAAACATCTATTGCGGCGGCCACTACTGGGTTGGGGCTGGGGCTGGGGCTCCACCTCCGCACACTGATCAGAGGAGAGTCCTGTGTACAGACACACCGAGTATATAAGCGAGTCCTCTTGACATATGCTAATCAAGTCCTTTCATGCTCGCTGGGGAAGTTGGTTCTGTTTGAAATCTTAAACCAGCCTCCTCTCAACACGGTTTTGCTCTTCGGAAGTGACCCAGAGGGGCTCTTGACGGTTCTCTATCCATGCACTCATAAAAATCATTCCTGCACTTGACCACCGTCCGCCAGAAAATTCGGGGCGGCTCAGCTGAGGTTCCTCTTTGGGGTTATCTTTGGGACAACGGTGATGCTGTTTGGCTGCCGCTGAGCAACCGCCTTTGATGTGAGCTCTTTTGCAGGGAAAGATCTCTGGGAAAGGGAGCCCAGCTTGGCAGGATATAGAAGGGGGGAGGACGAAAATTGGACTCCTTGAGAGCTGCTGGGAGCCTGCAGTGGACAGGTGCAAAAAATGGTAAAAGAGGGAGAAGGGAAAAGGGCGTTACCTGAGGCTTAGACCTGCCCAGACACACATGAAAGGAAAATCAAAGCTTTGACAGTTTAACTCACTAATTTTAAAACACTAATAAAATGTACAAGCATTACCCTTTTCTTTTATCATTTAGATGGGGATTTTCTTTACATAATCAAGGTTACGTTAGGAACGCCCTTCCCCCTTCTAAATTCTCTTTAATGTTTATTTTTACATAGATAGTATATGACATAACCATGATTGCCTTGTTTGTATATATGAAAGTTTTAAGCTGTGTGCTAAAGTCCTGGATTTTAATTAGCATAATAAAATAACATAATATCACAATGAATCAAGGGATTCAGAGTAAGCCCAAAAAGGCTGAAAAGAGATGGTTTACGTTGTTTTATTTTGTCACAAATAGAAAATGAATAACTGGAATGGAGTCATAAATGATGAGTGACCTCTCGCGCTCTTGTCTAATGTAAGAGCATCTCTCTTCTTCACAGGTGTACTTTCTTAATGGGGGGGGTCCACACTTCAGTTATGAAGCCTAAAAGCGACTAAATGGGAACAGTTGTCAAATGATAAATGTTGAGACTTCAAAATGTACTGGTACCATTTAAGACTGCCTATGAAAAATATTTGAAATGGACAAAATCATTGAAATGAGGAATACATGTACATTTAAACACTAAAACTTTGGTTTTGCACCACAAGATAAATTCAAGACCCTCTGTTAAAATTTCTCTGTGGAAGAAAAGTTGAGAAACATTTGGCAGATTTATGCTTCCCTTGAGCAAAGTTTTAGAGAGCCACTCAAGATTAGTTTTTAAGTCTTGTTTCATGGTCTGTTCAACAAAAGCCTAAATCTGGGAGCTCAGCTGGATTTGACTGGCTTATTTTCTCTGAAGGATTTTTTGTTTTGTTTTGTTTTTGTTCTTTTTTGGCTAATTAATTGGCAGGTGCTTTAAAGTAGGTAAAGTTACACCTTTTCATCAGTACAGTGCAAAGCCCTGACCCTAGCGCAATCAAATTGTAAGAGTCCTTAAAGGAAGTGATTTACTGTTGATAGATATGAAATAAAAACACTGGCTAAAAACAATAAACAGATAAGTCACTTTAGAAATGTATATGGCTAAGTCTGTTTTAAATGTACCAGGTAGATGTTATATTGTTTCACCTTTCAAATAACAACAGTCTGTCTTGTGGTAGGACCCCAAATCCACCATAATCAAGATTTCAAAGCACATCTGTGTAAACATTATCACATCAGTGTAAAACATCAACCAATGAGCTTTTACTTTGAACCAAATCTTCTTAATTGCAGTGTTAAATCAAAGAAAGTTAGATCAAAGTTGTGTGAATCTCATAGCAGAATAAGTAAAGTAGCCAGAACATACATTGATCGCTTTTAAAGAGGAGATACTTGAAGGTTTTTAACTTAGATCAAATGTCTTTTAATGAGGTTGGTTTCAAGGTCTAAGTACTATGCAACATACAGTGCTGTTAATTATTCTACAAGGAATATATATTATTGTCACCTGCTCCTAGAGCTGCCAGTTCAATCCATAAAATATTTCCTCGCATGAACACTTAAGTCCTGATGTGTAATCTATGGCTCTAAGACTGTTTAAGTATCTTGTATCACACACACACACACACACACACACACACACACACACACACACACACACATACACACACACACACATTAAAATATGGGAAATTTTTCAGATGTTGTCAGCAAACCCCAAATAATTTAATAATACAGCTGCATTGTCTTTGTACACTTTAGCATTTTAATGCGTGTTCCTTTATTTGATCACAATGACCTTATGAGATAGGAATATTCACTTCATTGAAAAAATATCCTGAATTCTGCCTGACTCCCTTAATACAGAGTCCAACATCTAGGGCAATTTTTGCAACTTCTTTAAATAACTCTCTTTCCTCTTTTGTGAAATATAGACAATGTAACTCTTGCCTAGAGCACTATGGGTAAGGTTGCAATGAGACTTAAGTGTGAAAATTATGTAGGAAATATATTTTAAAACTATAAAGCTTTCTATATATATTACATGCTTGAAAACCAGTTGTTGGGACACTTATTTTATATTGAGTAAATGTAATCTTTTTAAAATGCAAAATAAATTATCTTTCCAAAACAAACTTTTAATGTGTAAATTGTGAATGGTGCTCAATGCCATTTTATAAAGAACCAGAATAGAAACAAAAAGATAAGGATTTCTTTTGTTTGTTTTAGTCATGTGACAGGAAAAGATAACATTATAGTTTTTTTTGCACATGCTGTGATGATATCATGGGAAGTTAAATAATTTTGAAGAGTGTTTTACAAGAGTACATTATTCAACTTTTAAGTATACACTGCAATCTAATCGACTTTGCCTATACAGTACTTCCTAGAGACCACACTTGCTTTGCTGTTATACAAATAGGTCATACAACTTCTACTTCCACAAAATGTAGTTACAGTTTTCCAGACCATATAACCCTACAGCTTTTCAGTCAGCAGATTGCCATGAAGCTTTGCTTTTACGCATGAAAAAATAAATAATGCCTTTTGTTGCTTCTACAAGTGTATGACTTGAAAGAACAGCTGATTTAAAACTTAACACCTCCAGAAAAAAAATGTACATTTGAACAATATTATTCTTTATTTTAATTACAAGACATGGGCAATGACATAATTTTTCATACACAAGAAACTGGTTGAATAAATTATGATACACATAAAGGAGCACTATATAGCTGGGAAAAAGAGTGAGAAAGATCTCTATGAGCTAATATGAAGTTCTTTCAGGATATATTATTATGCAAAAAAGCAAAGCACAGAAGAGTATATATAGTGTGCTATCTTTTCGGTAAGAAAGAAGCAAAATAGGAAACTTCTACATGTATATACTTACTTTTTAAATGTAAACACAGGACGGTAAACCAAAAACTAATAACATTGGTTGGCTGGTGAAAGGAGTAGAAGAAGATGTAGTAGAGATGGAGAAGTGACATTTCTCTGAGAAATTTTTAAATGTTTTGATTTTGGGGGAAATGTTCATGTTTTACACCTTTAAAGCAAAATAAATAAACAAAAGGGGGGGTGGAACAAAAACAGAAACAAATGAGCCAAACTGTATTCAGGTGAACAACATAATCACACAAAAGAGAACAACATTATTGTATTAAAAGTAACTGTCAAATATAGCTCTTTGATTACATAATCAAGGACACAAGTAAATTTTGAACTTCAGTGAAAAGGATTTTCTCAGTGGTCAGAGAGAAATACATTTAAGACTGAGCAAATGATCACATATTCAGAGAATAATAAGAGTGAGGAGTTTTATTATTAGAGAATGGAGTTCCAACATAAAAAGAAGAACGACTAGATGAGCTTGAAGTGAATATAGCGTTGAAATGAATTGCCGTTATCTGATTAGCACATGCCCCCATGTGTATCATGTGTATGTATGTAGATCTTAGCTCTGGCCCCTAACAGGGCCTAGATGCAAATATATGTCAGTGCAATGAGACCACCTAGTACTTAGACCACCTAGTACTTGGTCTCTCAAGCCAATCTCCTACTAAAATGACCCAGGGAAGCTTAGAGAAATTCCTGGCCCCAGCAGTAAGGCATATTTTTGTGCCAGAAGGCAAAGAAGTACATGAAAATGATGAGATCATGATACAGCAACATAAACTAAAATTTAAGAAAGGGTAAATTTGAGCATCAAAATAATGACTGTAAAGGAAATTTATGGAACAAAATGATCTTTGAGTTCAACTGTTTAAATAAACACATAAATGGAAACTTTTTCTTGTGGTAGACTAGCACTGATAAATATTTAAAGAATGATGAAATTATAAAGGACCATTTTGCATCCTTCATAAAAATCATTGCTCATCCAGAAAATGTCATTGATGCATTCTAAAGCAGCAGATGTTTGGTGAAGACAACAATAAAAACAACAAAAAAAGAAAAAGTGTTTGATGAAGAGAGTCCAATTGCACAGATAACACAGTAACTTTATAGAGGATTAATCTAGTGAATACTATTTATTCCACATAACAAAAATAAACAATAAGAATGTGACTAACACTATATGCTTCTTGATACTCTAGGGACAGTGGTATGTTATTTATGTATGGTTCCTGTCAAAAACACATACCTGAATCTATAAAGGCATACATCAGGTAACCCCCTATTAATAAGGCATATTCTATAAAATGACTGACCCATGTATTTCAAAATGTCATAATCAATACAAAAAAAAAAACTATTCCAGATTAAAGACAAGTAAGAAGACATGGAAACTAAATGTAATATCATATGTGATTCTGGTCTGGAGCTTGAGCCAGGGAAAAATTAAACCATAAATATTACTGAAATAACTAGAAAAATCTGAGTATGGACTATGAATTAAATAATAGAATTGTATCTTTGCTAAATTTCCTAATTCAGAAATCAATCTGCAGCTAAATAAGAAAAAAAACAGAAAATACAAAATTAAACTAAGGGTAAAGAAGCATGATGTCTGCAAAGTTGTTCTCAGATTGTTTGGAAAAATATATAAGCCTATATAGAAAGAGAGACAGAACAGATGATAAGAAACAGAGAGAGAACAAAATGTCAGCAAATGAAAAATGTAAGTGAAAAGTATACAGAGTTCTCTACTTTCCTATAATTTTCTTCTTTTATTAAATTAACATGAAAGTTTTAAAAATTAATTTTATTGCTACATTTAAAGTATACAATATAATGACAGTCATTGGTGGAAATTTCTACCTTTACATAACCTCTCTTGGTTCTTACTTTTCCCCATCCCCTACCCTCCCTTTAACCCCTCCCTCCCTCCCTATCTACAAAGACTTTGTTTCCATTATTTTTCATTTTCTTTATTCTTTTTTTTGTTTGGTTTGGTTTTGGTTTTGGTACCTGGGATTGAACTCAGGTCCTTGCGCTTGTGAGGCAGGTGGTAGAACCACTGAGCCAAATCCCCGGCCCTATTTTTCATTTTCTTATGTTAATTCTATTCCCTTCTCTCCTTACCCCCCTCCTATTCCCTTTCCCCTTTGTTCCTTTTCTTCCTATTTTACATTATCTAAAAGTTTTAATATAAAAATTTTAAACCACAATTTAAATACTAAAAGCACTTCAATATGGGAGAAATGCTTAAATTCGACAGCTGTCATGTAAGATAATTGAGGAAAATCAGAGTTCCTGAATTGAAACTGTTAGCTTAGAAGAATCTAAGTTACATAATTAAATACCTCAACAGGAATAGGTTTGATACCTTTGTGGCAGTATTTAATGTATGCAAAAAACAAATATATAATCTGTGGAGTCATATTCAAGCAGAATGAAAACTTGGCACAATAGAGCATGTTAGTTATCGCTGCTTCTTTTAAGAGTATCACCTATGGTAATGCAACTCCACACCCATTTTACCCAACACCAAAACCAGCAAGAGTAATGAACAACAGATAATTGATTTTTACTTTTTTCTCTTTTTTTTAAACCTTGCTAGGTATAAGCAGGATGTTGACATTCAATAGTTATGAGCCATTGGAAAAATTACTTTACTGCCCCTGAATTTAGATTATTTTCCTTTACAGAATTGGAATAAAATATGGACTCTCCTATTTAACAGAGCATCGTAGGAATCACAATAATGTATATGAAAATCCATTTTGCTACAACATCTAAATGAGAATTGAATGAAGATAATCATCATCAACTTTCCGCAATGTTAGACTACTTAATTAGCCAAGTTCTGCTGTAGGTTATGTTCAGGGAATTAAAAATGGTCTGTGGAATATGTAGCATCAAAACTAACAATTTCTTTATTTGTAATAGTTTTTGTTTTTGTGTGCTGGGAATTGAACGCGTACATGGTAGACACACATTTACCACTTAGCTACAGCCTCAAATCAGGCAGGGACTCACTAAGTTGCTCAGGCTGCTCTCAGACTTGTGATTATCCTGTCTCAGCCTCCTGAGTAGCCACGATTACAGTTTTGTGCCACATGCCTATGTGCCCATCAAGAAACATTTTTTATGCTTCCTGTAGAAAAAGGTTTGGAACTCCTAGGTTCAAATGATCCTCCCACCTCAACTTCCTGAGTAACTGGGGCTAGTTAGTAAGAGTGTTTTGAGGTAAGTGTGAGAGAATTAACAAGTACTCTTTGAAGTACTCTATTTTGCAGCATCTGGATGCTATGATTTGGATCTGAAAAGTTCCCCAAATGCCACGTGCTTAGGGCTTGAGGGATAGCTGATAAGTTTGTGGGAAATGATTGAATCATGAGGTTTCTATCTTCATCAGTGGATTTATCCAGTTATATATCCATAACTTGATGGCATTACTGAGAGCTTATGGAAACCTAGAAGGTGGGGGCTTAGTTAAAGGGAGTGTTCATGGTGTATGCTCTTGGAGACTGTAACTTGTTTCTGGCCTCTTTTTCTCTGATTCTCTGTTTCCTCTCCAACATGAGGTGAGCAACTTTTTTCTGCCATGCTCTTATATCATGATTTTTCTTCCTTGCCATGGGCCTAAAAGCAATGGATCCAGCTAACCATGAACTGAAACTACAGAAACCATGAGCCAAAATAAATCCTTCCTCTTTTAAATTGTTTTTCTCAGCTACTTTGTCATGCCAATGAGAAACTCAAAATACATATCATTCATTAATGTTTCACATGATCTTCTGTTATTAACATTGAAATATATAATATATGATTTCCATTTCACTGAAGAAAATTTCCAGACTGCCTTCACCAAACATCTTCATTTAACAGGTGTTTTTCACATTAATCTCACCTAGCTAATAAAAAACAAAATTAAAATGTCCCCCATCTAAATCACATGCTGTTCCATTAAATCATGCTGCAAATACCTAAAAAGTAAGAAATAGTTGCTTCATTAAATCAACTCAAATACACATAATTAAAACTGTGCTTCAAACTGGCGCCATTGCTCATCTACATTGCTTTATATGGTTGCTCCCAGAATCTGAAATTGAAAAGAGGATTAAGAAAAATAATTTTATCTGATTTTTTTCATTCTTTCATTACTTTATCATGAATATATCTACAGAATATATCTCAGCTCCCTTATTTTTACATCTTCCATTTTCAAACTAAAGAAATTGTATTTTTAATTAAATATGTTTAATGCTTTTGAAGAATGATGCCACACAAAAGGTGTTAGTATAATAATTTTTAAATTAAATCATCAGTGTTCAAATAAATTAGATTTTTCAAGGATATGGAATTACCATCAAAATTCTGATTTCTTTTTTGGTACCAGGAATCAAACTGACTGAGATTCTTGTGCTTGAGAGGCAAGTGGCGGAACCACTGAGCTAAATCCCCGGCCCCTGATTTCTTTTTCTAAATGATACTCTTCCAAATAAATAATTTATTCATAAAGTTTAGGCATTCAGTAGAGTTTAACAATTACTAAATTTGCTGTCTTTCTTTACAATTAGCTAGAAATTAAAACTATCAAATTGAGATTTAAATGTTTAATCTATGATAACATGAACAATATGGATGAATTATATTTCCTTTAAAAGTCAAAAATTATAAATAGTGACTTTTTAAACCACCTTGAAATTTCAAATATTGCAAGCAAAATAAAGTGAGGAATTAACCAAGGCCTTATTTACCCACTTCTTTCCTTGAATCAGAGCCCTAGGGAAACTAGTCCTGTTTATACATAACTGGAGATTAGTCCCAGGCTAAAACTGCTGAAGTACAGCCTTCATCTCTACAAGGAGGACAAGCAGGAGTAGAGAGAGAGCTAGAAGGGCTTTTCTTAAATTTTGGCACACAACTAGAAACACATAAATAACCTTCTATAGCAGCGACTCTAGAGTGAGAAGCATCAGCAGAAGGAAACTGACTAATGCATCCATTGACAAGACGTGAATGGGGTTAGCACCAGCTCAATAAGTAACAAGTTGACAGGCATCTCTTACTTGCCCTGAAGGAAAGTCAGAGAAGCTAAGAGAAAACCAACTTACATAACCAAATGATAAGTTTATGATAATATGGCTATTGACAATTGTCATATTTAGAGTCTGGTCTAACATTATCCGAAGGGAAATACATTCATTAGCACCACCTTCATACTAGAATATAAGCTCCATGCAGGCAGAGATCTTTGTCTGTTTTGTTCATTAATATATATCAAGAACCTACAACGGTGCCTGACATATTTGTTGATTGACTCATATGTACCTTAAAACTTTTCTAAAAAAATCTCAAGTATTTGCTTTGATTTCTGGAATTTACCATTCTATGTCTCCCAACTAGAATAGTTCTAAGTTGTTGAAGATACTTAAAGATATAACATTTTATTCGACTATTAAAAAACAGATATTTTAAAGAAAAGCATCTTTCTTCTTTACAAAATACTTATCACTGGGCATAAAGCCATGCACTGAAAGGGCATCTGTCCATGGGAGAGTAGTTGCTGACCTCTTTTGGGGTCAGCCACTAGAGGACGGTGTGGTCACATATGTTGTCAGCCCCTTTAAAATGCCAAGAGGGACTTTGGAAGACAGGAACGAATGGTACCATGTTTCACATCCCAGCTTCTAGTTACTACTGGCAAATCCCTCCTGCAATCCTCATTTCCAAAAATGGAAAGAAAAAAAAACTATAATGAGTAGGTTATTAGCAAAGATTTTTTTTATGTCACAGAAAAATTGTGAAAATGTCCATAATCTTGATCAGGAATCAAATGCAATTGAGCAAATACAATGCAGCTGTCAGGATACCATAAAAGTGCTGATGCTGAAAATATTTGACTCATGCTATTACTAACAACAAGGCTATAAGTTGCTAGCTGGCGATGAAATTGTGAAATGAATTCAAAGGCAGGAGCTGAGTCAGGTAAATAAAATGGTAAGCTATGAGATTTGAAATAGTTTGCTGTCATATAAAAGAAATAAAAACAAGCTCTTTGAGAACTGCATAATGCACAAAACTGTGTTTACTAGAGGCCACAACAAAATGACACAGTCACAGTAGCAATCCCTGTGGATTTTAAAAATGAGATGAAATATTCTGACAGCAGACTTTTGTGACTGACTTCATCATATTCAGACCCATTATTATTTCTTCAAAGCTATAAATATAATTTATAAGTATTTCTAATGAGCTATTACAACAGAAATTTATTTTGCAAAGCAATCTTATTTTCAACTAGTATATTATGGACTTTGATTTCTGATGTCTGAACAATAATTCATTTCTTTATGCCCCCCAAAACCACCTGCTCCTATTGTTTGCAGAGATTTTCAGTAATTTTATAAAAACAAGTGTTTTTCATCCATTCAAAAAACACCTAAATTCTTTCTATATAATAGGTAACATCTATGCTTGAAAAGGCAATTTATGATTTCTATGTTCTTGAAGCTTACAGTCTGGGTGGCAGGTAAAAACAATGAAGAAACATATTTACGTGATGGTGATGGTGCCCTTATAGGGGAATTGAAGATGCTGGAGGTAGGTGGTAGCAGGGTGTGCTCAACCAGCCTGGGAAAAGGAAATGTATTTCCGAGGAAGCTACATGGAAGTGAAGTCCTATAGGGAGTGGCCAGAGAAAGAAAGAAAGCAGACAGATGTCAAATGAGGACATTTCTCTTGAAAAGGCATGATCCACTCAGTTCTATCTTCTCTAAATGTCGCAAGCCGCGACGTCAGGATCCTGCCAGCAGGTCCTAAACCTGAAAGGATGAGGACAGAGAGATGGGAGGCACTTTTCTTCTCATGGTACTTGCTGCTGCTTTATTACCGAACCTCTCCTTTTATACTCTCCAGCTGCGCGTCTGCAAGAGAGTACCGCCCACACATCCGGAAGGAAACCGTAAGTGCAATAACAACTATTATGGGTTACATTTGCTAGGCAACAGGTCAGACCACCAGTTGAACTAGCCTGTTGTTATGGGCGATGGCACGTCCACACTGCTTGGGTGAATCACAGGTCAGTATGGCTGTGCTCATGTCGTGTTCCTTTACAATGCTCTCCATATCTAAAACATGGGCCTAAACTAGATTATTACTATGCTAACATTCAATCTATCAATTTCTGGTTCTTCTATCCAAATTTCAAGATAAAATGTAAAGGCTAGGATTCCATAACTAGACTTGTAGACTATTTTATACACTTATCTCTTCATATTACTTAAATTCCTTTTCCCTTAAAGACAAGGCTTTAAAGAAGATAAGGGATTGTAATTATGGACTCATACACTAATATATCAAAACAAATATGAAGATAAAATATGTGTATGTATACATGAGCTTCCAACTTCCAAAGTTCTCCTAACACAATATTTCTGTAGACATAGCTGAAAGTTCCTGTTTGTTATTATATAAAGGCTTATATAACATACTTGTTCATCCAAAGATGATCCATTTATACCATTGTAAACTTTCAAACTGTAATATTTTTTGGTCATAGCCAAGAATTCAATGATTAATTCCAGATATCATAGGTGTAGGTCTCCATGACATAGATTTTGATCAAAACAAATGCCCTAAAACAAACACTGCACACAAAATCTTAATCAAATATGGTTTCCTTGTATAACTCTAAAAGGATAGAGGAACAGAACTCCTTATTCTGGAATAATTTCTTCAAGTAAACCCATACACCTGCAAGACTATTTTGAGTAGCTCATTTAGTGGTTTTCTGTAAAGTCTTATCGTTAAGTGAAAGTTCACTTCATTTCCCTTGATGTGGTAATCTGAGGTTTGCAGGTTCCTGAACAAAAAGTTTGAGACCATTCTGGAAAAAATTCCATCATTTTTTAAGTGGAAGAGGTTTGATGTGCTTCGGTTGTCAGGGGATTTACCAACAACTATGTTTTCTAACTTTGTCTTTACATCAATCTCTGATGTTTGAGGCAAACTAATTCATTTTGTTGAAAAACCTATTGCATACTGATGTAAATCACTCAACTATTACTTTGGTTTAGAAATGAATGCCTTCATATGGATAATGCATATGCTTTAACAATAATAAATTTAAGTGTTTGTTAGACATATTATATCAATGAAGTAAAAATTTGAAATATGTTGATCAAACCTAAAACAGTATTGATATAAGTCAACCCCTAATTACCTAGCAATATCAAGTAAATGCATAGTCTTTTAATTGCATCCTTGTGGATTCAGCTCAAGTAATCCACCAGGTCTGGGTGGTCAGTTGTATTCATCTAGTGTCTATAGACCAGAGATGATTCTTTAACTCCAAGTCTTTGGAACAACAAATATAATCAATTAGAAGCAACAAAGTAATTCCTTAATGTATAGTTTATTGAAACCAACTAACAATCCTGGAAAGCTAAAAAGAATTGTTACTCTTCCTTTTAATAAAGGATAGTTTTGTTTTGCCATTTGCATCTAAACGCAAGTCCTTAAACCTGATCTTTTTTTGCTTCCTCATGTATCTTATTCATCCTACTTCCTGCTTATTTCAGTTGTAATGTTCAGAAAAATTGCAAGCCAGTTGTTGAACAGGGACATCGTTAAAATTCAATTATATAAACTTATTATTAGTAAATTAAAAATTAACAAAATTTACAGATATTAGGTAAATGTAAAAGGTAATAAGTACTAAAACTTATCATTCCAATTATTTTGATATCTGCTATTATATCTATCTTTCATATGTACACAGTGGAAATTACCGTATAAAAACATGTTTCCATTCATTTCTTCCCAGCTTTGCAATTAGTTATGTCATGTTTGTAGCTTGAAATCAGCATAGTAGCAGTATTTACACTATAGAAATCTGCAAATGCTACAAATCAGAGCTCACTCCCTCTTCTACCCCAGAACTAGTCATTAAAGCTTTATTAACCCAATACTGGTCTCTGCCCACAGGGCCTTCTAAGGAAAGTTTTCTTTCTGCTTCCCAGAAACTGCATCTCCATATAACTCTGCATCTTTCCCTTCAGAGATAGCTGACTGGCCTGGAAATGGAAAACTAATAAAGGTAGAAATATTCACACTTATCAAGCTAATGCTTCTCTTTAGAAATTGAATGGAGACAAGAGACTGATGCATGAAAGCCAAGTCATGCTAACAGCAGTGGTTTAGAATAAATGTCCTTGAACTCTTACTATGTAGGTCCCTAAAGCTGACTTAGCCTTAACCATATTTTCCAAGATCCTGTAGTACCACTTTTCTCTGGATTCCATATGACTTTATCCTTAAAATATGTCTTTTATTTGAGCAAATATGTTTACTACTCTATTCCTTGAAAAAGACAAACTGATGATTCCAACATAGAAACTATCAAATGTAGGCAAAATATGTAGTCTCACATCCTGGTTGCATAGTCTATTGAAAATTCCTTAATCTGACAGCTTCTCAGTTTTATATTTTACTTGTTTTTAAGCTCCAAGATTACACAAAGTACTTAAAGCTCTACTAGAGAGTTGAAAAAAAAAAGTTCTTTAAAAGGACAGGAGCTACATACCTCAGTTTTTCAATGAGGGACACATTGCTGTTATCTACTTTGTATCTTGGGTCTTTGACATTTCTTTTCACAATTTCTACTAAGTACTCCCTACCTTGTCTCTTCAAAAAATACTTAACAGCTCCTTTGTCAAAGATGAGGTAGCTGAGTACATCTGCATTTGTTTTTATGTCTTCCAGTCTGTTCCACTGATCCTCAGGCCTATTTCTTTGCCAGTACCATGCTGTTTTTATCACAGTGGCTTTGTAGTATAGTTTCAAATTGGGAATTGTTACACCTGGTGCCATGTGTCTGTTGCCTAAAATGGCTTTTGCTATTCTAGGTCTCTTTTGGTTCCAAATGAATTTTTGGATTTTTTTTTTCTAGTTCTGTGAAATATAGTGTTGGAATTTCAATTGGTATTGCATTGAATGTATATAGCAGTTTTGGTAGTATGGCCATTTTCACTATGTTGATTCTTCCTACCCAGGAGCAGGGGTTATCTTTCCATTTTTTTATATCCTCTTCAATTTCTTTTTTCAGAGTGATGTAGTTTTTAGTGTAGACATCTTTTGTTTCTTTTGTTAGATTGATTCCTAGATACTTCATTTTTTTGGATACTATTGTAAAAGGAATTTTTTCCCTTATTTCTCTCTACGTGTGACCATCCTCAGTGGAGGAAAGATAGCCTCTTTAATAAATGGTGTTGGAAAAACTGGATGTCAACCTGCCACAGATTAACATTAGACCCTTATCTTTCGCCATGCACTAAATTAAAATCCAAATGGATTAAAGATCTAAATATTAAAACAGAAACATTAAACTTGCTGGAAGGTAAGTTAGGCAGAACTCTGGAAGACATTGGTATAGGAAAAGACTTTATGAACAAATCCTCAGTAGCACGGGAACTAGCAGAAAGAATCAACAACTGGGATCTCATCTTACTAAAAAGCTTCTGTACTTCAAAAGAAACCATTAGCAGAACTAAGAGACAATCTACAATGTGGGAAAAAATTTTTACCAGCTGTACCTCAGACAAAGGACTATTATCAAGGATATATAAAGAACTCAAAACAATCAGTCCCCCCAAATATAAAGACCCGATCCAAAAATGGGCATCCGAAATGAACAGACATTTCTCATACAAAGAAGTGAAAGCAGCAAGAAAATATATGAAAAAATGTTCCACATCACTGGTCATTCGAGAGATGCAGATGAAAACAACACTGAGATTCCACCTCACCCCACAAAGAATGGCTGCTATCAAGAAATCACACAATAACAAATGTTGGCGGGGTTGTGGGGAGAAAGGAACCCTCCTCCATTGTTGGTGGGAGTGCAGACTAGTGCAACCACTATGGAAATCAATATGGAGATACCTCAAAGAGCTTGGACTGGAGGTTCCATTTGACCCAGCCATCCCTCTGCTGGGTATCTTTCCAAGAGAACTAAAAGAATCATATCACAGAGAAGTATGTGCACCCATGTTTATAGCGGCACAGTTTGTAATAGCTAAATCTTGGAAACAGCCTATTTGCCCATCCGTTGGAAACTGGATAAAGAAGTTATGGTTTTTCTATAAAATGGAATATTACTCAGCCATAGAGAATGAGAAAATAGATTCATTCATAGGAAAATGGATACATACTGAAAATATACTCTTAAGTGAAATAAATAAGTCACACGTGTAAATATCGAATAGTTTCCCTGGTGTGAATAACTGCAACAATGCATAAGATCCTAATAAGATTACTGACATTTAGAAATGGGAAGAAAGGAGCTAAAGGTGTAGGGAAGGTGGGATGGGTAGGGGAAGAGCAAAAAGGGAAAAGAAAAAAATGTGAGAGAATGAAAAGATGAAAATAAAGTGTTTGCAGATGGGGAGGGGAGGAGGGGGTGAAGGGAGGGCAGAGGTAAGGGGAAAAAATGAGAATCAAGACTTGTCATGTAGAGGTACAAGATCCCAACAATGAATGTAACTGTACTGTATCCCTAAAATGTACCAATAAACTCAATTAAAGCTGAAAAAAAATACTTAACAGGTTAAAAAATTTCCAGACTAATCTATCTCAAAATCCTTTTCAGTATTCTATAACTTTACAATGCAAACACAAAATATTCTTATGCATATTACAGAAATAAACACTTTTCTGTTCTTTTTCAGAGCTCACCACCTCTTCTACCCCAGAACTTTAATCACTAATCACTGTATTTACAGCATGTCTTATTTGAGTTTCAAAGAAAACACAGTAGAACTATATATAGTTCATCATGGACTCGATCTGGTGGATTGCTTATAGCAGATGTTCTCATCCACTTTTTCCTGTGAATTTGGGCCTAGCCTGAAATCTTTGCTTAGCCTGATGTTCTGGGTAACCAACAGCAATCAACTGGAGTTG